GCTTTCATCTTGGATTCCCAATTGAGCTTCACTCTTTGGGCCATTTAATTTGGGCTGCACCTTTAGTGTGTCAACAAATATATCTTTATAGGGAACATAACTTGTTAGTTTAATTTATTATTTTTAACAGGCAATTCGTTTCCAATTGAGAAAATGTTGAAATATTATATTTGATGACATATTTATTTGTTGCATTGCTGTTAGATATTGGGTACTAGATAGTTGGAAGATAATTTATATATTCGAGTTCGATTCGAGTAATTACGTGGATCAGAATGATTCAATTTATGAAATATCTAAAGTGTAACGAATAATTTCAGATATTAAAATACTCGAAGGATCCCTCAACATCCAACCTTAAGTATAATGAATTCTAACCAATTCTTTTCTTTTATTAGAAGTATAATTAAGCCCTACAGTAAAAACATTAAAATGGTAAGGATGGCATCCCTAAACTTTGACAAAAAGTCAAAGATCATTGGGGGATCTGCCCCTGCTTGTCTATAATGAGTTTTAAAATAGTGAATTTTTCAAGGATGCGTAATTAAAAAAGAGGAAAATTTTTTTGAATTTACGTGCAAAATTTTTCATTGTGAGCATAATTGATTTGAATGGTAGACAAACCCGAGCTTAATTTGAATGCCTAATAAGGTAACAATGAAACAATGGTATTTTATGGTCAATGTTTTCAAACTTGGATTGCAGCGGTGGATATGATTGTGCTAAGAAGGTAATNATAAACAAATAGGGGCTTAATTTGAATGCCAAATACGTTAACAATGACACAATGGGATTTTATGATCAATGTTTTAAAACTTGGATTGCATCGGTAGATATAATTGTTAGTCAATGATTGTGCTAAGAAGGTAATAGAGTTGGACACAATCAAGCCCGTCCATTTTACATTGTTTAATTATCAATAACTATTTAAATTACCGGTACTATATTTATTCCTCATATTTCTTTGTAGAGGATATTTTTTACTTTATAATTTTGGGTCACTAAACATTACATCATTTGACCTAAATATGTTTAATTTTAGACCATTTCTGTCCATAAACATGTTTAATTTGAGCGTACTGACAAGTGGTAACTGTAATCTATTTCATATTGGAAAATGATGGTTGTACACCATGTCATACAGCATGGTGTAACATGTGAGGGGCCCACCATGAATAAAAAATTTGTAGGCCCCCCTATATGAGGGGAGACCGAGTGTACGCTGTACAAGCATGGTGTACATGTAACATCATTTTTTCATATTCTACTGAAAAAAAATCTTATGTTCATGTTTGGTTCAATTAATATATATTTTATCAACTTTTATCAAAATCTGCTAAAATTTTAATTTTTATGAAAACCAAACCTGTGCTATTCATTAGGGTTGTTGTCAAGACTTGCAATGCAAAATACAATATTATTGGCTGATTGGAGGATATTTTTTAGTCCGATAACATATGAGTGGATCAAAACCTACAAGTTATCATACTTCATGGACCTACAAATATATTTAGGGATTATGAAGAAAATAAGTGGTCCAATATTGGAAAAGTTGCAGAATAAAGTTGTCTTGTTTTGGTGAATCATTGAGATACAACTGTCGAAATATATTCCACGTGCCTTTTTTTTTTTTTTGACAAGTAAAGACAAAACTTTCATTAAGAAAAATCATCATTCTTTGGCAAATAAAGAGAAACTTTAATTAAGAAGTGTCCACACGTACCAAAAAAAAAAAAAAAAAAAGAAGCAAATACAAAAAGGAAGATGAGAAAAAAACTTAATTTTATTATTTTTTTTGTCAGCCATGACCTACTTTCAATTAGCAGAATAAAAATTTCTCACTTCTGAAATGACAAAAAAAACCTTACTTATAGTTTTCTCCGTTTAGAAAAAATATGAGTGGAAAATGGAGTGTGAGGGATCGAATGAAATATCTTAAAAATGTATGTATCTCGAATGTTTTTGTTATGAGGTATATGCCCATGTCATTAAGGTGTGAGGGAAAAATGGAGCATGGGAAACTGACGCACCCGACCAATATTAAATGATGAATGTTCAACGTTAATGTTAATTGTAACCACTTTTTTATACTACCAGTAGATTTGATCGAGTTTCAAATAATATGGTTCTTTGCATTTTGATTGGCTAGGCAATACCCCAAGTAAGCCCACGAAGTTATTGTTAAGGTTTTTAAAAAAATGAATGAAAAAAGGGATACATATTGAGATACTTTTATTTTAAAATAATTCACACGCATATCATAAGCATGCATCATATACACTTGTTTTCTTATTGAGCGTTAGCTCATTTCATGTTATCTTCTCTCATTTTTAGATGATGATTGGAGATGACGACTCATAGTACAACAGACTCAATACTATCACATTTGAATATTGAATTCGTTTTGAAAATAAAGTTAACATTTAATTTAATTGTCTGACATTTTTATTAAGTACAAATTATTTTCATAAATAAAGTCATCGATGTTTATTATATTGAAGAAAAATCTATTTATTATTATTTTTTTATTTTTTTTGCTTTTATGATTTTAAGAGAAAATTAAATAATATTACTTCCAAATCTAGGTATTTAGGGGAAGTTTTTATCCCACTCACTAAGTCAGAAGATCAATTTCATATTTTTTATACCACAATTTTTATTTGTTACATAATATCTTCACTATAATCAAGGTAGGAATATTTGCTCATTGTTGTATTTAATTTTTCGTTGCGTTCTTATTCTTAGCTTTCTTTTAATTAACAAATCTTGTCTCCGATGACAATTTTCTATCCAAAAAATTTGTAAGAGGGAATAAAAAAATATATGTGCCCACACATTTTTAAATAGCCTGGCAGGCCCCTGTGAAACCCCAACTTGTACGTGGGGGTTTTTCCTTTTAAATAACTAAAAAGATAATAGATACAAAAGTTTGACACAATATGTTTCCCTCATTTCAAAGCATGTTGATAGAATATTTCGATAGAACATTGTATTATGTTTGTTTGTTAGTTGAAATTTAAAAATAAGAATGCAACGAAAAAACTTGGGACTTAAATCCAACAACAAATATTAAAAACCTTCATGGAATTAAAATGCAGGAAATAAAAATATGTAGCATGACGCAAACACAAAACTATAAAATGAAGGTTAAATATATTGATATCACAATTTTTAGTAACTACATATTTTAGTTGGATGAAATGTTCATAATATTTAGTCATTATGACATCAACATCTTTAACTTTTTTGATTACATTCTTATTTTCATATTAATACTCGCTGTCCTGATGACTATTTCTATCCAACAATGTCACTAAGATGGAGACTTACCCTCGTAAGTTTATATAAGACAACAAAAAATATAAAATTAAACTAAATATTTGTCACTCGTTTACGCTAATCGTATTTTAGGACGAAAATAGTGATTAAGGATGAAACTTGCTAGTTAATGAAAGATTAAGCCACGGTTTGTTAGAGATTAAGGCCCTGTTTGGGAGAAATT